TATTGCGAGTAGATCGATTTACAAACCTAAATCAGTTATATTACAAGAAAAAACTATAGATAAAATAATATTTTTATAATTAGAACAAGCAAAATTGAATATGTCAAATTCAAGTAACTCAAATTGTAAATGAAATGGAATAACAGTAGTCGTTATCAATAAGAATAAGATGTATAAAAAATTTAACCACATATAACGTTTAAGTTAAAATTTGCTAAATAATTTCCTTTAGTATTAGTAATATTCATTAGTAATACTTATAAGTCATATTTGTATTGTATTATCTAAAATCATTCACATCACATTCATTCATCACAATCATTCGAGAGCCCATTTTTTTAAATTTTAGTGTATTTTAAAAAAAATAAAGACTTGTGCATACTTGCAGTATTATTAGTATTCTTACATAACACTTACATAACACTTAATATTTTAAAATGGAATCTCTTACTCTACCCCACTCAAACTTATGTGACGTATTGTTCAAAGTCGATAAAAATGAACAAAATGTTGATTGCTTAATCAGTTATGTTAATACGATTTATCCTGACTTAGACGAAGAACAGTTATCGCGCGTGAAAAAAAAACTTAGTATTAGTTTGCTACGCATCTTTAAAATGAAATTATCTTCTGCATTTTACAAAGAAAATATATTTAGAAATAAAAATTGCCAGTGGTTATCAGAAAATGTTATTATTGATCTTAAAGAGGATGCCCCAAGTGGTGGCAGACCATCATTAGATAATTACGAAGGTAGTTCTAAATCTACTAAGCGTAGAAAAATACTACTTCTATCTGAAAGTTATTCAGAAGAAGAAATAAAACAGGCTTTTTATAAAAACTTAAGAGATTCTGGAAAGAAACATTTGATACATGTTATTGAATGCCTTTTAAACAATGAAGAATGCAACTTACTTACATTTACCGAAACTGAATCATTAGCTCTTATTGAGGATACAAAGTTATCTCGGTGGCAGTATGATACGATTCGAAAACGATCTAAAGAAAAGAATGCAGATATTTTTATACCTTATCAAAAGCTTGCAGAAGCAAAAGCAGAATGCTATCCTGTATCTTCAAGTATATTAATAACTAAGAAACACGTTTCCATTGATTTGCAAGCTTTATTAGATCATACATGTAAGCGGTTACTACAAATACCTACTGTTATTTCTCTCATACCTAAAAATGTAACTGAAGTATCTCTTATAATGACTTGTAAATGGAGATGTGATCGTGCTTCTGATCAGAGTGAATATAAACAAAAATTTACTGATGGCACTACATCAGACAGTAGTATTTTCATGATCTCTATGGTACCGCTTACATTAGAAGAAAATATACCAAATTTAAGAAAAAAAATTTGGTCTAATCCACAATCTGGCTCGACTAGATATTGCCGAGTTATCAGTTTCGTATAAATCAAAGAAACACCAGAGAACACTCGTGATAAAGTAGCTCGAATAAAATCTGAAATCAACGCTCTATCACCAACGTCACTAGAGATTGCTGGTATAAAAATTCATGTAAAGCACTCGCTGCATCTAACTATGATAGATGGAAAAGGCGTACAGACATTAACAGATACACCTTCATCCGCATCTTGTGTAATATGTAAAGCAACACCATCACAAATGAATAATTTGAATGAGTTATCGAAAAAAACTGACATACTTGATAATTTTAAATATGGCTTATCCAGTTTGCATGCATGGATACGATTTATGGAATATATTCTTCATATAGCATATAGATTAGATTTCTGCAAGTGGGCTGCAAAATCGATTGAAGAAAAAGAACAAATGAAATTAGCTAAAATTAGGATCCAAAAAATGTTCAAAGATAAAACAGATTTACTTATAGATTACCCAAAACAAGGGCCAGGATCTTCCAATGACGGTAATACTGCAAAAAGATTTTTTCGTGATCCTGACTTCGCATCCCAAATAACAGGTGTCGACAGACAATTAATCGTCAGATTTGGAATCATATTACAAACTATTGCATGTGGTATAAAAATTGACAGCATGAAATTCAAGTTTTATGCAAAAGAAACTTTACAATTTGCAACGATTACCGAAAATCGTTCGACTCGCGTAGGTTACGAAGCGGCTGAGCGTAGCAGCCGCGATCGGTTTGAGAGAGAGAGGGCGCGTAGGGGCAATGACCGAGAGGGGAGAGTTCGACAATCGGTACGACTGTGACTTTCAGTTCGGCAGCACCTCGGTGGTTTGTATTGAGCGGACATTGTGTCTATTGTTTTGCGAGCGAGATCAGAGGGTGAAGCAAACAATTAGCGACTGTTGAGCGAGTGGAGTGTTGTGCGCACACTGGTAAACGTACGCGGTTTTAACAGCGGTTGGAGTCGCCTCAGCAACAACAACAGCAGCGAGTCGCGCAACGGCAACAGCGGGGAAACCGGCTCATAGGCAACAACAGCATATAGCGCAACTGGATACGGTTGGCCACCGTATCCACAACGACTCCGCGGTAGGTGCACGACATTATATTTATTGTCATTAGGTGCGATCCCGCGCAGCGTGCGCGGAGAAATTATTTAAAGCGTGCGAGCGTTTCGCGACGATCGCACTTTTCTCTCTCTCTCTCCTCGTTTACATTGTCAGACGAATTCGCGTGCGTGAGTCTCTCGGCAAATCCCTCCCGTGTATTTGATTTAATTCAATAAAGCGAACAGCAGTTATTCGTAACCGAGTTATTGCTTTGTCTTTCCTTTGTCCGGGGTGCATGTTATTGTTTACGTCCGATTCGAATAAGCCGGTAAAATAGCACGGATCGTGTAGGCATCGAGAGAGGCGACTTGCAAACTGAGTTTCCAGCAGCGGCCAACGGAGCGCTGCTAAGCAAGCGCGACAGCGCCGCCAAGTGGCGAGTTCGAGAACCCAACTCCGCTTGGCGAGGGAACTCTGCGCAGGCGCACTCCCGGACAAGGTAGGTTAACGTGCTTACGGCACGTAGATAACAAGGCGTCGTTTGACCGAACTAACGAATAGGTTTAATAGGTTAACGGTTAAATGGCAGCCTGTTACAAATTATATATAAATTTATATAATTGGTACTATATGCCAGCATCTGTGCATAAGATACTTTATCATGGAGATAAAATCATTGACCATTTTGCACTAATTCCAATAGGTTTATTATCTGAAGAATCTCAGGAATCTTGAAACAAGGATGTGAAGCATTACCGAAAGATCGATAGAAGAAAGTGTAGTAGAATCGCTACTAATACCGATTTGATTCATAAATTACTTATTTCATCTGATCCATAGATCTCTAGTTTGAGATACAAAATGAAAAATACTAAACTTGAAATAGATAAGGCTGCAAAAAATATGTTAATATTGGAATAATGGTAAATTATGATTACAAGAAGAACCTTTTTAGTTTTAATCAAGCACCCCAAACAGTGAGAGGCAAGGGGACTCACTATAATCAAATTATTCTAAAGTCAAATATATTTGCACAGACAGATGACTCTGATTATCCTAAATTTATTTTGCCTAAAACATGTTCTGGAACCATGCTTAGAAACGGATATGAAGTGGACATATATATGTTCGACTATATAGCTAAGGAGTTATGGATTTGGGGTATAGAATTCATGGTTTCAGGGCTTAAGGTTTATGATTTACAAGAATAACGCTTCGTAGATCTCTGACGAATTGAATTACCAATAATCTCGTTCAAAAAATTTTTAATTCCATCAAATATTGTTTCATCTAGGTGATTTTGAATCAACCCGCCTCTATAGCTCCAATGTGCGCCGCTCCGTTAAACACGTATAGTTACGTATAGTACGTCAAATGATTTCGGTTAAGTGTCTTCTTTCCAACGGAGTTGAACTCACCTTAAGTCACTTGACTTGTGACACTCGATGTATCTTAGGTGTAAGTGGCTTTATGCCTAATCCGCTTAATCCTCTAAATGAAATCGGATTAAAACCTAAGCCTTTATAAATCGCTTAAACTAATGGGAAATGAAATGATGTAATCAGCGAATAAAATTAACTAACTTTAATTAGTAAAAATTACAGTCTTTTGTGGGCCGAAAGACTAACGCATGCGAATAGGATTTTACAATGAATTATTATTATTCGGTGAGAGAGAGAGAGAAGATTTGAAATTTACCGCGAAACTAACGCTCGGCGCGAATACAAAAAATTCGATATCGCGGTTGACAAAATACTACCGAATGTATTTTGTCACGCAATAATAAAGGGAGGTGCACTTATCCTGGGGTGCAATTACGGTGATCCGCCGTAATTGTTGATGAAGAAAAATCAACTGCCACTGCTCCTCTTATAAATCTGCTGCGCTGCCTCGCTCTCCTTTCGGCTACAATTCGCTGTTCTTGCACTGTTGCTGCTTTTTTGTCGCGGTAATATCGTTGCACTCTCGCACGTAAAATTGTTCCAACAAAACTTTGTATTCGTCGAAATACAGTGCAAACTAAACTCGACCGTATTGTCGCGAAAATAGCTAGGCATAACTGCCTCAATATTTCAAATGCTTGCGCGCTCCCTCTCTCTCTCTTAATTGTTCGAACTAACACGCGAGTTACAGAATCGCGAACGGATCTCTTAATTGAATGGACTACCGTTGCAATACACAAAACTTAAATTACATCAGTACATGTCAAAAGAAAATCCACGATTATAAAATATCACACAGATATTATTATGTGTTTTGATTCTCTAAACACAAATTCTATATCAGAATTATTTCATTACTTTTGAGTTCCTGTAAATAAATTGGAAATGCTTTTACTGAGAAATATGAAAATCAAAAAATCGTGATTAAGTAATTGGGCTGTACATGTAAATATTTGCAAGAAGATTAAGAATGGATTCGTAATCATAAAATCAAAATTAATTTAACTAAACCTGTTAAATAATTTGATCATAATTTATATTACTACTATAAGATAATATATTGTTATATTGAATACATAATAAGAGTCGATATGAATTATTTCTAATGTTTATTTTTTATACATATATTTTTTTCAATATTTGAGCTACATATGGATGTCTTTGAGTTACGGTAGAATGAATACTTGGCAATAATTACAAATGGATACGTTAGTCATTTCAGTCAAGAAGTATAAGTTCAAGTCCTGTATGAAAATTTCTACTTGTGTTGATGTCCAAACTATTTTTACTTGCCTGAAAATTCCAATATTATAAATATTAAAATATATAGTTTTAAATAATTTGTTATCCTTAATTAATATATAAATTTTATAAACAAATTTTCATTTATTGTTAAAAAAATGTATTTATGAAGTTGAATAATTGTAATGTAATCATTCGACTAAAATTGATGTTTTCTTTTCTAATGTCAATTACACAGATATCCTAATTCATTCAGTAAGGTATTCGAATCAATGGCAACCAATGTAATAGTAAGCTTCTTGATTCAATGCTTATAAAAATTGCGTTATGTTCAACCATTCCCCTTTCACATTTAGGCTAATGTAAGAATCATACATTATATTATTGATAAGACAGTGTACATTGAATTTGGCAATAAATGTAATAGCATGCCAGAAACCATCCTTTTCCTTATATCAACTTATCAGGAAAAAAATTAACAGAGTTCATAGTAAAAAATATCAAAGATTCATATTTGATGGTGATATGAGATGGGATAGCCACCTAACAAATAGTATTAGGAAACTAAATACTTCAATCTTACATTCAACAAGTTATCTAAAATAATTTCTAAAGAAAATTTTAGAATAAATTATCATGTGATATTTTATAGTATATATCCAATGAAATAATTGTATAGCGGCATATGCAGTGCAACGATTAGCGAAAATCGTTCGACTCGCGCGAGGTTAATGAGCGGCTGATCGAGAAAAGCCGCGATCGGTTCGCGAGAGAGAGAGGGCGCGTAGGGGCAATGACCGGGAGGGGAGCGTTCAACAGGCAGTATGACTGTGTCACTCAGTCCGCCTGTATCGTGCAGCTAACCTGTTCCCGAGCCGTTCTAAGTTTTCGCGTGGTGGTGCTAAGGCGAACAGTGCGAACTTTGGTGCGGTGTGCTGGGTGCAGCAGCAGCAGCAATAGTAGCAGCAGTAATAGCAGCAGCAGCAATAGCAGCAACAGCAGTAGCAGCGACAGCAGCAACAACAACAGCAGCAACAGTAATCGCGGCGGTGCGGCGAGCAGCGAAGCGGCGTTTCAGCAGTTTGTTGTTCGGATACGGTTGGCCACCGTATCCTCATCGTTCTCGCGGTAGATGCACCTTCCCCTTTTTATTATTGTTAATAGCGTGCGATCCCGCGCAGCGTGCGCCAGGAAATTAATTGTTACGTGCGAGCGGCTAGTTCGCGGTGACCGCGGTTTTCTCTCTCTCTCTCATACGGCGTGTATTGTCATTCGCGCAAGCGTGCGCAAGACTCTCGGTAGATCCCCCGTGTATTCGATTTTATTGAATAAATCAGTCAATCGTCATTGTTAAATCAAGTAGTCGTTATTTTGTCTTTCCTTTGTCTGGAGGTCGCAAGTGTTTGTTTCGATTTGAATAAGCCGGTAGTGTAGCACGGATCGCGTTGATACCGGTAGAAGGGAATCGTCAAACGTAGTTTCCAGCAGCGGCCGCGCGAGCGCTACTAAGTAAGGGCGACAGCGCCGCCAAGCGGTGAGTTGGGGGAACCCAACTCGGAATAGAGAAGAGACTCTGCGCAGGCGCACTCCGAGACAAGGTAGGTTGATGTGCTTTGAGCACATAGATAACTAGGCGTCGTTTAGTAATTATATAGATACGTTCCAGAGGTATTATAGACTAAACGGCAGCCTGTTACAGCAGGAAGGATTAGAGGATCTACGAGCACTAGAACCTAGAATACGCAAAGTAATTAACAAGAATAATTTTATACTTGAAAAAACCCACTCAATATAGAACAATCATTTAAATATTAATCACTGCTATATCATTACAATAAACTAATACAATAATATACAGAAAAAAAAGAGGAAAAATAGCTTCCAATTTCCTAAAATAAACAAAAACATAAACATTATAACAAGCTATATTAGGACCTTAATATACTACAGAAATCTGTCGAAATAACTAAAAATACTTGTTTCGGAGTCTTTAAAGCGCTTGCAATAGAATTAATATTCATTTAACAAGAACGTTTGATACCTTAAATCTAAAACTATTTAGATTTTACCGTGCTTTATTGTGATTTGCTACTGAAAATTCTGTTTTTGATTAGTGATGTCATATGAGAATGTAACAGAAGTTTCTATATCATTTATATCAATATTGACCAAGCTTGGCCTTGCATTTTTTCTTTATCAAGCACAAGTCTTAACAAGAAACTAAGTGTTTAGCAACGTCGCTGTGATGTCATTAACAGATGCATTTGACCACGCCATTACTAAGGTGCATTTCCACTTAGATGATTTTTTCCCCTATTCATGAATGTATAATAAAAGTTTTAGGATGAAACTGTTCAATTATAAAAATCAATGTATCGGCCTGCTCACTTAGTTTTTCGATATGCTCCAGAGTCACTGATTCTCTTGCTATTAGCAAGCGATCTCCAAAAATGGGTATTGATCATTAGTTGTAAATTTTAACCTTAGTGAATTATTATAATAATGGTCAACTTTGTAAATTTTCAATACAACGATGATGTTGAGTAAGACTAGTTTTCGGACTCATTGAAGATATAGCTTCAGCGAAGTAAACTGACAATATATAAATATTATTATATGCTGTTTTTCGCTTATTGATAAAGAATTATAGAAATAATTTTTTTTGGATTATAGCTCATTATTATTTTTGTTTTGAGCTGGAATCACATTCATATTCTTTTTTCCATGGTCTTTTATTTGATTTTACGTGACGCTGGTATATTGAGTTTAACTTTACGTTTAGCTCTTTGAGTGGTATGTAGGTTATTTTTATTTTGTTTATTCTGTTTATAGGTTAATGCTTGTTTATCATCATTATCATGATCAGTTACGATTTGAAGTATCAATTTCTTAAATTTTATTTGTTAGCCATTGAATATTTATCTAATACTTTTTCCAAAATGATTGCTTAGCTTTTCAGTTTACTATTCTTACCTAGAATTGTAGAACATCGTGTACAAGTTGTATAACAATTTGTACAAGTCATTATAACAGATTATTATTTTACAACCAGCTGAGAGATTCGAGAAGACAATATAAATTTGAAAATAAAAAAAAACATATAAGCAAGTAATATGACAGATATTAAAATCAAAATAAACACAAGTGAGATGATTTGATTGTGACACTCACTATGCGCGTTTGGGGAATAATCGTATTTGATTATTCCGCCAACGCGTCACATACTCGCGAATGAAAGGAGAGAGTGAGAGAGAGAGAGAGACGACCTGATCTGACGAAGATTGATGGTGGGAACCGTTATTGAGGTAGCTGGCAGGCCGAAGATAGGCTGGATAGATGTCTTCCTGATGCTCTAGGCGACAATCTGAGATTTTTTTCTCCACCGTTTGCGTAGTGTCGTTTCGGTCCCTGCTTATCTCTGCCTGGTGATTTATAAGTCTGGTCGCTCTATATTCTAATGCACGCTCTCGGTCGTCACGGTCGATCCTCCCTGATCAACTCTGTCTCCAACCGCGCGTGTGCCGGCTCGAGCAATGCCGGCGGCTTCGTTCTCTCGAGCGGATCGCCGCGGGTTGCTCGCACTCGCTTACTCGTCTTACGCAACGTATCTAATCCTCTTTCTTCTCTCGCTCCCAATTAGCTCCCATTGACGAAGCCCGGCACAGGTATTGGTCCTGAAATAAAGCGTTGCGAGCATCGGTACGAGTTCTCGATTTCCATCACACACGCCATGATCACAGCGAAAGAGCGAGTCGCGAAAGAGACAGAGCGAGCCAGACAGGGCCGGCTATCCCAGCTAGGACTCCGTCACAACCCCCCCCCCCCGCCACCAAGTCATCATCCTCTCCTCGATGATCAACTCACGATCATCTCGCTCCTCTCCGCGAGTGTCTAAAGCGAACGTTCTCAAAAGGAAACAAAAGGAATAAAAAAACACATTCCTATTTTGTTTTTATTTCAAAAAAATAAAAACAAAAGATCTAGCAAACAACACACTACTTACAACCTTGTTTTTGGGTCGTCCGAGCCCGGGGCCTGCTCGGCGGAAGGCGCATCGACCACCATCACCAGCGACCCTAGCACGGGAGGGATATAAGGGCGAGCCACCTCCTTATCCCTGCTGTTCGAACTGGAGCTCTGATGTTTTTGTCGAACATCGTACCGCAACTACTTACAAGGGAACCACCCCAACCCGACCTCACCGATTTGAATGATTTTGGGATATGTTGTAATACTTGAAAAAAAATTAGATACGTGTTTTTTTTATCGCCCTATAAGGACTTTTAAGGGGTGAAATCCACCCTGAAAATCAACCCCTAAATATTATTTGCATTGTATTACATATAGCTGTTGTAACGGGGTGGGTACCATTTAATTAATTTTATCCGCGTAATCGTATTGAAAAACGCACGTAATTACCTATGTTCAATACGAAAGTCGGAGAGCAAGAGGGAACAGGTGTCAGTCAACCAACAAATCTACTAATACGGAATAAACACGTCAAAAGTACTGGTTAATATCACATACGAGAACTCTTTATTACTTCTGAATGTTACACTAGAATTGGCCGGCGTGTTTATGTTTACAGTGGTGCTCGCACGACGACAACATACATTGTCGGATCGCTCACCGCTCTTTGTTAGCAGAGCTATTACATGCACGCTTCGCTTCGAGTACGGAAAATAGATTAACCGGCATGCAATCGCGGTCGCGACATTAAGCTGACCAGCTTACCTTTTTAGCAGTCGTACGCAGAGCGGAAGAACAAGTCACACTTTCGTTGCGATAAAGTCTGTCTTTTGTTTACCGCGGATCGCGAATTCGCACGCAGGTGGTTTCGCCCTCGATGGCGAAACACCTGGTTCACTCTTGGCTCCGTAGGAGATGACGCTGCTTCTGCTGGCTCGGGCGACCCTCCGGATAACTTGGTAACGACAACCACTCGATCTCTCTGGTGCGCGCAGGTAATTAGTTTGCGAGTCTCGATTTTCACGTACTCCGCGCCGGTAGCTAGTTCCGTACTCGTTCGTTTTCAATCGCGCATGTTCCGC